TTTTTTTTTTTTGTTATATTTATTTGCTCGAGACTACACGTCTATACAGCATTAGAAAAAATAATAATAGTAATAATAATAATAGTAATAATAAAAATAACTAAATTAATCTATATACCTACGTAAATACATGTGTTGAGAAATTCTATATAGGTCTTACTGGTGACAATGAGTTTATACATTTGTTGATAATGAGGTTTACACATTTAAGTTGCTATCCTTGAGGAATTTTGTTATAATGTCTATGATCTTAGAGTCTAGGTCTTTTAGAATAACTCGACAATTCAGTGGGGGAGGAAATTGATTCAACCGGAAGGAGTTATACATTATTTGTCGAGGTTGATCATGTCGTGGACAATCCCAGAGGACATGATCAAGATCTTCGCTGGGATGTCCACATTCGCACTGGGCTGAATCAATTATATTTTTTCTTTTCAGGGAGGCTGAGAGATGATAGTGGTTGGATCTAGCTCTATTGACCCAGACTATTGAACGTCGGGAGAGATTTTTATTGTAAAACCACGGCTTACGACTCTTTCTGTAGAATTCTTTGAAGAATTCTTTGCCCTTGCCATGATCACTATCATCTCTCCCCTCCTCTAAGCAAACCTCTAGAGTGGCGTCAAAGGATCTTTTTTTTATGTCCTCTGGATAATCGGAAAATGGAATTAACAATTGAGCGTTTGGTAGGTTTTCGGTGGCCTCTCCAGCCAAACGATCGGCTTCCTCATTGCCCTCAATTCCAGTATGTGAAGGAATCCATTCGAATTTTAAAAAGTATTGATTGTTGTTCCTCTGTATGAACAATTCATAATTTTGTTTTGCTTCTACGATGAATCTATTTTCCCTCACGCTCTGTGATGGTCGGGAGAGGGAAGTGAGGGCACTGAAGGAGTCGGTAACAATTTTGTAGTCTTTTTGAGGATCTTCTAACGCAATTTTAATTGCTTCATTAATCGCCAGACACTCGGCTGTATAAACCGAAGCTTGAGGGTTGATGCTCAGGCTTCTTGACACATTGAGTTCAGGGGAGAAACAGGCCGACCCAACAGAATATCCTTCTGACTTCTTACTTCCGTCTGTATATATATGGATAGCATTTTTAATTCTACCTATTAAAGCCGGATCTAATTCTGTTGTGTCGTTTGTTGAGTCAATTGCCAACTCTATTGCTATTGTGCCCTTCGCTGGGGTTGACATATTCGTTTTATAATCATTTAGGTATATATCAAAGTGATTTCCTTTATGCAGTTCTGGAGTTACTGGTATTAATTCTCGTACGCACTTATTGATCAGTCGCTCTTTATCACGAGGTGCAATTTCGTTGCTGTCAATCATATGGCTAAGGCTAGATGAGACCTGGGAGCTCTGATTAGATATAATTTTTATGAGAAAATTTTTGCATAAGAAAACTGATCTTTCCACTATCGAGGGGAGTTTGCTCTCCGCTAAGAGTACATTTGTTGGTGTGGAGATTCTGTAGCTTAGGCTGTATCGGATTGCTGCAAATTGGAGTCGTTCAAGTTTAATTACATCCTGTTTAAAAATTGGGAAAGAGATAAACGAGCTGTAATCAATAATTGAGCGAACGAAGGCCTTGTAAATAATAAGCAGAGTCTCTGGATGGGCACCCCACCAGGTACCTCTCAGGAATTTTATCATATTGAGGGATTTAAGTGAGGATTGGAGGGTCTTGGCTAGCTGGGGTTTGAACGACAGTCTCTCATCAAATATGATTCCTAAAAATCTTGCTTGTGGTGAGCAGCGGATCTTGTGTTCTCTGATTTTTATTGTGGTGTTTCTGGGAGGTTTTTTTCGTCGATGAAAGTGGACCAGTTGCGTTTTTGCTGGGGATAACGTAAGGCCGATCGTGCTCAAATTAGATGCGATTTTCTTTATCGATTTTTTCATGGACGATTTCATTTTTTTTACTGTGGGGGAACTCGTATATAATGCGATGTCATCAGCGAATTGAGATATTATAACGTTACTGGGGAGATTCTCTGTGATTGAGGAGACATAAATTATGTATAGAAGGGGGGAGAGAACTCCTCCCTGGGGTACGCCTTTAAATACTCGTCTGGGACCTTGATTGTAGAGAGAAGAAATTTGTCTTTCGTATGTCAAAAATTTGACGAATTTAACCACTGGCAGAGGACACCCAATCGAAGCGAGTTTATTGAGGAGAATTTGGGAATTGACATCATCAAACGCGGATTTTACATCCAGAAATGCAGCCATGGATTCTTGTTTTTTTGACAGGCGAGAGTCAACGTAGAGGAGTAAATTCGCCAAGTTGTCATGACAGGCTCTCCCCTTCCGAAAACCACTTTGTGACGCGGGGAGGAGGTTCTGGTGTTCCACCCACCACTGAAGCCTATTTTTGATCATCGTTTCTAGAAGTTTACTAATGCAGGACGAGGGCAATGGGTCTGACCTCTTTGCCCCCAGGTTTTGGGATGAAATGAAGGTATTGATGAGTCCAGTGCGCAGGGTACTCTCCAGCAGAAAACAATTCATTAAATATATCTACAAGGAGTAGATGATATTTCAATGGGAGTTTCTTGAGGGTTCCGTAGTCAATGCCATCTATTCCGGGAGCGGACTTATTATTTCGGGAGTTCAAAGCTACGTTAAATTCTTGATAGGTGAATTGCTCCTCTAATGTTGGGTTTCTGTCGCATTCAGGGAGATAAAATGGATTAGTTTGAGTCCATGGGGGGCTGATAGAGTCCAATGAGATTTCTACTTGTACATCAATACTGGCATTTTCTTTTTTATTGATTGGCGTATTGTTAACCCAAGAGTTCTTAAAAATTTTGCACGTATTCCAAGCGTACTTTTGATTTTTCCTAATGTCAATAGATTCTGCGAATGACTTAAAACTTTCCTTTTTCTTTGAAGCAAAGAGCTTGCAAGTATCAGCAATCGCTTTTCTATGCACAATGTAATCCTCGTGTAATTTCGAAGACTTCCACTGGGCATAGGTAGCGATGCGATGATCGCGAGCCCCTTGACATTCCATGTCCCACCAGTGGACGGGGTTGCGATGTCTCGAGGGATGAACTGGACGCTTGCGTGGGGTGTTATTTTTTATGTGTGAAGTGACATGTTCAATGAATTTCTAATATTTATTGATTGGGGTGAGACTGTCGTAATTGGGAATGTTAAAAGTTGCGGAGAAGGAATTTTCCAGGGATTCCTTTAAAGAATCCCAGTTAGTTCTGACTGATGTTAACTTGAAAGACTTTTTAACATAATTTTTTTTTTTCTATTGCAATTTGAGTGATTATAGGGAAATGATCAGAGCCCAAGGTCTCTTCTTCGACAGAGACCTTAATATTATCTGTTAATGAGGTTGATGACAGTACTAGATCAATATTAGATTCGCTAAATTCGTCATGCCGAGTTATTGTGTCTGTATTGTGAATTATGAGGTCATGCGTTACAATGGAGTTATAGAAATTATCCCCCCCTTGTTTGTTTTCTCTACAATTCCACGATTGATGATGTGCGTTGAAATTGCCCATAATGATTGATTCTTGCAGAGCTGAGCATAAATTACAAATCAAATCCCATTCGGAGGGAAGGAGAGATGTATGAGGGGGTTTATAAAATGCGTAAAGGTTGAACTCGGGGATGGAGTTTGTGATACGAAAGCCTATGGACTCTATTTTCCTTTCAGATATTTTTGGCGTTTGAATTTCTTTATAAGTAATATTTTTCCTAAACGCCACCAGAAGCCCTCCACCCGTTTTGTATTCCCTGTCTTTTCTAATGACGAAAAAACCAGGGATTCTGCGATCACGGGTGTCACTGGGTTTCAGGTGGGTTTCGGAGCATACCAGTATGTCGATGTTCTGGGTGAGGGTCTCCAATTCATCTCTGCGGCGATCAAAAGCGCGACAGTTCCAGTACAAGATCTTGAGTTTTCTGCTAGCAGTATGAGGTGCGGCCTGGTCAGCCACGTTGTTGGGATGAATTATCGGTTGTGGTGGTCAAGAGATGCTGGTGTTTTTTGATATATTCATAGCCATTGGAAAGTATGATCCTCCTATCTACACTTCAGGTCTCCATCGTTGAGTACTCGTTCTTTTTAGCTCCTTTCATCTTTTGCAACAGGCGCACGAAGTGCTCATTCTCAAGGGCTTTGCATATCTTGGGAATACGATTCTTGAGTGGTTTACCAGGTAGCTTTGTCTTGACATAATCAATCATAGTGGAAAGTGCCAAAAGTTCCTCAGTTAACTTGAGGGCATTTTCCACAGCATTGACGGGATTCCTGGTTTCGTCGAGATAGTCACGAAGTTTAGCAACTGATATTGGAAATTCAGCGGTTTTATTCCCAATGTGTTCCACAACACCGTTCCAGCCAGCTTCTATTCCTACAGAGTCCGGGGACTCTAGAGAACCACTGGGAGAGCTGGAGACTCTTGGTTTCTTCGTAGGATTAACGGTTTTTTCTCCCTTTGACTCTTTTGAAGATCGCGAAGAACTATTACGGGTGGATGCAGAAGAATACGACGCAGAGTCCGAGAGATCGCCTGGAGCTTCAATGGCTCCATCAGCACCGACACCAGGCTCTCCAGCGGTAGCGCTCGGTTGAGTGGAAGTGGAAAGAGGCCTCTTATGCTGGGGTAGCCCTTGGTGTGGGGGAGCCATGGTTGTTAGAACGTTATAGGGTTTATCCAATTCGTTGGAGATACTGAGCAAGGGATCGCTCAAATCATCAATTATCATGAGAGGATCAGCAGTAGGAGGGGAGGGAGTTGGCTCGTGAGGATCAGCAGTAGGAGGGGAGGGGGTTAGCTCGGGAGTAGGATTCATTGTGTCGGGGGGATTTTTGTTCTTAGAGGGGTTCACATCGATGATGGGATTATGGGCTACTGATTGTCCGTTCTGCTGGACCTCATTTTGTTTGTTGGGGCAATTTTTGGCGAGGTGTCCCTCTTTCTTGCACTCAAAACATGCAGTTGAGTCTACCGACATGAAAATTGAAAGAGTTTTGCCGAAGACCGTTGCCTCTAATCTCTTCAGTAATTTCTCGACATCCTCAGGGGAAACATATGTCTGCCTTTTATGAGACTTTATGTGGGCTAGACGTTTGTCTTTAAATCCTGTTTTGATGGAAGTAATCGGAGTTGTGATTTTAATTCCGTATTTGTCTCTCAATTCCTCTTCCAAGAAACTGTCTTGGACTTGAGGAAACACGTGGCTAAAGATAATCCGCTTATTTCGGGTGACGTACGGGCGAATGTGTACTATTTGGTGACCTACTTTCAGGTGTCTCTTTGAGTTTACTAACTCGTCTGCCGTACGAATACTGTCCAGCCAAACAATTATACGACCATTTGAAATGATGTCAGTAGCGAGCATTTTCAATGGATCGATAATATCCAGGAGTGCGAGGATGTGATCTTCAGGTTTTGCATTTTCATTTCTCTCCACGATTATCGCCTGCTCAAATAATGGTCCAATGGTGTTCTTTGCCATCGAGACGTACGAGGGTTTCGTTGGAGTTTGGGATGACACGGTGGTTTGGTTTTCCAAATTGTGAGAACTCATTTTTAGTTGACCCCTTCGGTGAGGGCCCACTATTAAAAGTTTAAACTAGAGGAAACTTCCTCTTCAATTAATTTATTTATTCACTCGACACCGTAACACTGGTAAACGATTGAACATTTTGATCCGCAACGTCAAGCGCGTAGGGAACTTAGCAAACACGTCTGCTCTCTACGGTGGCTCGAGTGAGACTCCAAGTCAATTATCTCAGTAATGAGGGGTTTTAAGGGGAAATGTCAAAAGATATTTTTTGTGGAGAATTTTCTTGGCTACAAAAAAGGTCTTTTGACATTTCACCTTAAAATCATTCATTAACGAGATATTTGTAAATTAGTGAAACGACTCTGGATTTATGGGGTTAGAATGAATTTGCAACTTATTCTAGAAATACCTTTGGAAACATGTGGTTTAGAGGAAAATGTCAAAAGACGTTTTTTGTGGTAAATTTTGTCAGGTACGAAGAGTGTTTTCTGACATTTTCTCTTAAAACGACTACTCCTCGAGATAAATGCATAATTGAGATTTAAGAAAAATCAAAGTGAAAACAAATTCTCTACTTTATCTGGAAAAAAATTGTTGTTCATTCAAAAGAATTATTCTCCTTATTTGAGATATTTAAAAGTAATCCTCTTCGATTGCAAATGATTGAAATAATTGATAAATAATTTTTAATGTCTCGAAACTCCTCATTATCAAATGAAAACATTCAATTCTGTCGTGAATTGATAGAAAGAGATACTTAAGAAAATTTGCACACAGAAAATCGTAAATATCTT